AGTCCCAAGACAGACCCCTATGGGACGCCGCTCATTACCGGCCTCCACCTGGACATGGAGCCATTTATGACCACCCTTGTCTGCGGCCTTTCAACCAATTTCTTATCCATCAAGTGGTCCACCCATCAAATCCACATCCCTCCAATTTAAAGATAAGATTGTGATAGGGGACCATGCCAAAGGCCTTGTTCAAGTCCAGTAAATGACATTGGTTGCCTTTCTCTTGTCCACCAATGCTGTCACTCCATCATAGAAGGCCACCTTCTCTTGGTGAAGCCGTGCTGGTTGTCTTGGATCACACGCTTATTCCTCATGTGATCAAGCATGTCATCCAGGATGATCTGTTCCATCATCTTCCCGGCACAGAGGTGAGACTCACCAGCCTATAGTTCCCCATGTCCTCCTTGCTCCCTTTCTTATAAATGGAAATGACATGACCCTTCCTCCAGTCATTCAGGACCTCACCTGACAGCCACGACTTTTTAAATATGATGGAGAGTGGCTCAGTAACCACCTCAGCCAGCTCCTTCAGAACCCTGGGATGCACACCATCCAGCCCCATAGACTTGTACACATTCAGTCTAATAAGGCTGCCTCAAACTTGCTCTGCCCTTATAGTGGGGGGGATTTACTGACCTGGTCCCCACCTAGAGGTTTAGGGATGCAGGGCTCAGGGATGTGAGAAATACTGGAATCCTGGCCACCAGTGAAGACTGAGGCAAAGAACTCATTCAGTACCTCAGCCTTCTCTTCAGCCAGTTCTCCTTTTACATTTACCAAAGGAGGTACATTTGTATTGGCCGGTCTCTTCTGGACAATGTACCTGTAGAAAGTCTTCCTATTGTTTTTCACATCCCTCACCAAATTCAGTTCTGCCTGCACCTTGGCTTTCCTGATCCCATGTCTGCAAGCCTGGATGGCATCCTTGTATTCTTCCCAGGTGACATGCCCTTGTTTCCAGAGTTTGTATGCACCTTTCTTTTCCCTCAGCATGCCCAGCAGGTCCTTGCTGAGCCATGCCAGTTTCCTACCTCCTCTTCCTGCTTTCTTATTCAGAGCTCTTCAGAGATGGAGAGCTCTTGTGCTCTCAGAAGGGCATCCTTGAAGGGTAGCTCTCCTCAACATCTTTGTCTTTAAGGACAACATCTCAGGAGATCTTGGCCAACAATCCATTGAACAGCTTAATGTTCGCTGTTCCAAAGTTCAGGGTCCTGAACCCACAAAGGGTCAAGAGTAGATACAAATATCTGAAGAAGAAAGTGTGCTCAGTGTTTCAGTAATTAATTTTTTAATTCAATTTATTTTCATGTGCTGAAATATTACCCAGAATTCTAGGAAATGTAGAAGAGGATTATGAGTGCAAGGACAGAACACTAATTGAATTCTAAATTGAAATGACTCATCTGAGCAATGCAATGACCTGGATTGCCTGCCTGAATGTAAAAAACTTCCTAAATGGTATCCTTACAAGAGTGCAGCACCAAAAGCTTAACTTTGGTACATGTGTAAGAAATAGTACATGTCAGAAAAAGGATTCCTTGACGAGGGTCTCCATTTACAAACCGAAAACTTTTTTTTGTTAATTATAAGGCAACAGGGCATGGTCTTATTCATTTTGTCTCAGTCAAAATTGGTCACAAAAGGAACAAAGCTTAAAAGTACTTCAATCTACTGAACTTAACTGGTGATGGACCTTAAACAACCAAAACAAAGGCATGAGCTTTGTTCATCTTGACACTTACTTAGGAAGAAAGTTATAAATAGATGGTCTAATTAACACTTCTAAGAACAAAACATAAGGTGAGAATAGGAATCTCCAATTATAATGATTATGAGCGAAGTATCACATGAAATTTCACTCATTATGAAAACCAATTTCCTTTGTTTTGAATACTAGTGCTGTTGGCTGTTTTTTTTTTTTTTTTAAAGAGGATGGTTATTGTTGGCTTTTTTTCTATATTGATGCTGGATTTTTAATGCTTTCTACATCCTTATTCATTAGGAAACTTATAAGGATGGTCATAATTCATAACTGTTCATAAAAGTTCATAATTGAGCCATAAACACCTATTTGGCAGTGAAATTTGTAGAAGATTAAGCAAACAAATGAACAAAAATTCTTGATTTCTATAATTTTCAGGTGACAGAAGATAGGTATTTAACGTGTTTTCACTGTATTTCACAATCATCTAACTTCCACTACCCATCCAATCTGGCATTTACACATATTAGCAAATTATGATTCACTAACAGAAGACACACATTACACAGAAAAAATAGTCTACTTCAGTAAGAGGACAGAATAACTTTTCGAAGATCTTCTCCTTTGCCTCTCTCAAATTTATTAATTTTTCAACCTGGACTAGGACAAAGCATTTGATACAGCCTGTACAACATTCTTTTCACTAAGCTGGAAAGACATTGATTTCATGAATGGAACTGGCTGGATGGTCACATTTCAAATGCTGTGGTCAACAGCTCTATGTCCAGGTGGAGACCAGTGACTAGTGGTGCTCCTCCAGGGTCAGTACTGGGACAAGTACTGTTTAACATCTCTGTCATTTACATGGACAGTGGGACTGAGTGCATCCTCTGTAAGTTTGCTAGCAACACCAAACTGTGTGGTGTGGTCCACATGCTGCAGGGAATGGATGCCATCAAGAGAGATCTAGACAAGCTTGAGAGCTCAGCTTTTGTGAGCCTCATAAAGTTCAACGTGGCCAAGTGCAGGCTCCTGCATCTGGGTTGGAGCAGTTTCAAACATGAATACAAGCTGTGTAAGTACAGGCCTGCAACTATGTGGAAAAGGACGTGGGAGCACTGGTAGATGCAAAAGTTAGCTCGAGCCAGCAGTGAGCATTTGCAGCCCAGAAAGCCAAGCTTGTCCTGGTTCTAGAGACACTGGAGCCCTGAGCAATTATAGAATCATAGAATCATAGAATTTCTCAGGTTGGAAAAGACCTTCAAGATCATCAAGTCCAACCACGACCTAACCATACTACTCTAGCTCTAACAACCCACTGCTAAATCACGTCCTTGAGCACCATATCCAGAAAAGATTTTTAAACACATCCAGGGATGGTGACACAACCACCTACCTGGGGAGCCTATTCCAGTGCTTAACAATCCTTTCTGTAAAGAACTTTTTTTTCTGATATCCAACCTAAACCTCCCCTGGTACAACTTGAGGCCATTTCCCCTTCTCCTATCACCTGTTACCAGTGAGTAGAGACCAACCCTGCTGTCATCAGCAGCAGCAAGAACCTCAGCTAAGGATAATGCTGCACCTACAACAGAGCAGTGCAAGATTCAGGCACAGACGGGACACAAGTGCTGAAGAGCAGTGCAGCAGGAAGGGACCTAGGGGTGTTGGTGCCCACAGGTAAGCATAAGCCAGAAGTATGCTCTGGCAGCCACAGGGCAAACTGCATTTTGGAATGCATTAACACAGCACAACCAGACTGGCAAAACAAGAGATTCTCATGCTATATTTAGCATTGATGCATCCCAATCTAAATACTGTGTACAATATAAGAGTGTTAAGATCCTTGAATGTGTCCAGAGGAGGGAACACAGTTGGCAGAGGGTTGGAAGGCATGTCCTATAAGAAGAGAATGAAGGTAGTTGGGTGGTCCAGTCTGGAGAAGAGGAGGTGGAGAGATGACTTCACTGCTCCCTGCAGCATCCTGAGGAGGGGAAGCAGAGGGAGGTGCCGAGCTCTGCTGCTGGGCACTGATGGCATGATGCACAAAGTTGCTGGAGGAGTTTTAGACTGGGCACTGGGAAAATTTTTGTACTGTGAAGTTGGTCAGATAATGGATTAGGCTTCCTAGCAAGGTGGTTGATGCCCCACCTAACTCAGGACATTCTGTTTTTATTAATATGATTTGAATTTTTGGATGGTCCTGTGTGGAGCAACAAGTTGGACTTAATGATCCTTGTGAATTCCCTCTAACTCAGAATATATTCTGTAATTCTATCCTATTCTATCGTAAAAGAAATCTAGCTAGCTGGTAAAGGGGAGTGATCTTCTCTCCCTAGTCCATGCTCATGAAACTCCATCTGGAATACTGCACTCAGCTCTGGGTTCTCCAGCAGAAGGGAGACATGGAACACATTAATAACGTTTCCAGAAGAGTGCCACAAAAGATGATCAGAGAGCTGAAGCACCACCCCTTTGAAGACAGGCTGAGGGAACTGAGGGTGAAGAAGAGAAAGGTTGGGGTAGATGTTGTTGTGATCTTTCAGTATTTAAAGGGAGCCTACAGGAAAGATGAGGAGGGACTCTTTATCAAGTATTGTAGTTGATAAGAGAAAGGGTAATAGTTTTAAACTAAAAGAGGGTAGATATAGATTAATTAAAAGGAAGAAATTTTTTTCACTACGAGAGTTGTGAGGTGCTGGAACAAGTTGTCAGAAAAGTTGTGCATGCTCATCCCTGCAGGTTTTCAAGAATAGGCTGGATGGGATCCTGGGCAACCTGGTCTAGTGGAAGGTATTCCTGCCCATGGCAGCGGGCTGGAATGGTTTGTAGGCCCTTTCCAACCCAAACCATTCTGTGACTCTATGACAAGTAGTAAATCTTATATCTAAAAACTTACAAATACCTACTCTAAATAAATGGGGGAAAAAAAAAAAGAAAAAAAAAAAAAGAATATTTTGAAGCAGAAATAGAGTTTGTATAGCTTGAGTTGAAAAAATCTTAATAACCAAGATATCACAGTTCTCTTTAGTGTTGTGAAAATCAGTACTGGTTTCCTTCAGTATTCTGTCAAAGTTAGTACAGTGCATAAGCACATCAAGTACATTTTCAAGATAAGCTTTCAAAATACTGCAGAAACAAATAAAGCATAAATAATGAAATAATTATCTAAATATCCATGACATCAGTAACACAACTGATTATTCTCTTTGAATTTTAAACATTTCTTGTGGCTGGAAATATGTTAACACAATTATAGCCCAAAACATATGCTAAAAGAATTTCATAATGTACTTACATATCACTGGCAATAGAGGAGTTCCTTGACATAGACTTCGGAGAAAGATCATAGTCACTGTCTGACCGGTAAAGGAAAGACTCCCTACGTTGACTGTGGACAAAATTTGCCTGAAGAATTAGCCCTGATCCAGGGCTCGTCATGGGATCCAAGGGACTTCGTCCCGATGACGTACCATTGTCCACATCGAAACTGTAAAAAGAAAGGAAAAAAAGATTTGTGCCATAGGCATAAGAGTTTTGAAAGTAATGAACACTCTCCTGGCAAATCAGTAGGCAGATTTTCTTCTCGTTAATTGGAGAAATCATGATCTGGTCAATTTCACTGCTAATGCAAAAACAAGGTACATAAGAAATACAGTGTACAATGGCTGATAACCAAAAAATAAATCTGAAGAAAACTAAACTTGGTAGTGGAAAAAAACAAACCACTATTAGGAATACAGGAACCTATGTGCTTCCCTGTATGCTGATTACTTATGAGCTCTCTGCATCAGGAACATGACACAGTTCTCTTCTTAAGGCCCCATCTCTCCTGAGGTTGACCCTCATTACTCCAATTCCTAGTGGGGTGAGGCAGGTGTTCTTTTTGTTATGGAGTACCCATTCCTCATACTTCATTACTACTCAAGTACTTCAAGAATGTATTTTGTCTCTTCTCAATAAATCAAGCATGAATAATGTGTATTTGCACGCACTAGAGGGAGGTAGTATTTTGAAATTGGAATGAATGAATGAGCTCTGTGATCACTGCCAAACAGAATGACTACTGCGGCCATTCTTGTCTTACACCTTTGAACTCTGCAGTTTCAATCTAGTACTTCTAGTTATTGTTTGGTAGTTCCGAAAGAGCACTGCTGTCATGAGAGACACAAAAAAAAAGACAGAGACAGCTCCACAAAGGGCTCTGAAAATCAGTACAAAGACCTTGAATGGGACTCAATTAATTAGAAACCAGAGCAGGGTAAGCAGCGCTGGGTGATGCATTCATAGCAACCTGTGCTGTTTAGCAGTGTGATAGCTGTATTTGGTACCAGACAAGAGTCTTTTTGGATTATGTAGCTCAGTTTCTAGATTTCATGTTGTTGCAGTATGGACTCTTGGAAGTCATGAATGACTGATTAGCAACATTTTGTCTGCATATGTTAAGCAGACATGTTGGAATGTGTTGGAGCACATTCCAATAGGCCAGAAGTAGAAGGACATCTGTTTCTCTTGATTGCATCTCTAAAACTGAAGATAAATTTTAGTTCTAAAGCATGTGAGAAAAGGTGTGTATAACCTTGGTTTACAAATACTAAGCATAGTAACAGGAACTCAAGTAATGCTATTAAAGCACACAGGAATGATTCATGAACAAAAGGACCTATCACATAACTTTTTAAGTGTCAGTAAGCTTTAGAATCTAACAAACAATTCTAAAAATAGATTTTTTGAAAAGAGTGTTCACATGAAGGATAACCCACTGTTTTCAATCATGTCTAAGGGCAGTTGAAGAGAAAATAGTTGGTACGTATCAGCTCTTGATTAGACTTCAGCCTGGCACATGTCACAGCAGGTACAAGCTACTCTCTGCACTAGCTTGCTTCTTGCTGTTATCTACCACTGACCTGAGGCTGCCTTGTCAGCAGTGGTGATATTTCACTGAAGTGACAGAACTCCTCCAGCCTTTTTGCATGCTGAATTAACTAATCAAATAAATCTACACTGCCTATATATTGCCTCAGAAAGCAATTTTATTTTTGTTCAAAAAAGTTATTAAGAAAGAGCTACTAACAGGCATTAAACAGGTACTTTTCAGGTAGCAAAGTAATCAAAGTGTATAATAAATCAGGCATAAAAAAAACTCTAATAGACCAATACAGGTTATAAATACAGATTATTAAACAAATCAACTTCAACAGATGTTTCCAAAACAATTCACTAGCAGTTAATACTAAGACATATACGTTTTCCCAAATTTGGGAAATTCTTTTAATTATGTCAGAGTACTTCTGTGTCTTCTAATACACTCTCATTACATAACATTATTGATTTCAAACTAAAAAAAAAAAACCATAATCTGCATGACAGTGAATGAGAGTTCTGCCACCACTTTGCTGAATGATTCTGGACAAAGCAAAGCTCCTTTCTTTGTTTCATTTTCCCTGCTTTTGATCACTGTGAGATCTGCTCCCCCTCCCCCCAAAAAAAGTGAAAAAAATATTTCAAAGGGCAAGTCAGTATGAATACTACTGTGACTGTTGTTAGATAAGATGAATGTACAAGATAGTATGAATGGCGAAACAGTAACAAAAAGAAATAAAAACTGAAATAACAAAAAGAAATAAGATATCCTTGCAGCTTATACGACCATACATTAATGTCCATATTACCATTACCACTAGTCCGACTACACTACTCATTAGTAATACTAACATTGATAGATACTGATAAAGACATCGATATAGATACTGATTTCCTTTGATTTCCTGAGTATTTCAAGAGCAGAAAAAAATACAGTGCCAGTTAAGGTTTTGGAACATTTAAGAACTCAAAATCATGACACTTACTTAATTGCCAAAATAATAACATTATTTTCTTCAAACAGATGCAAAGAAACACAAACTCCTAAACAAAAACAGTCTGCATATTTTTTTCTGCTAAGGACAAAATGGTAGACATTGCATGCAGTTTTATATAAAAAAGAAGGTGGTTATTTACTCCTGTGCTTAGCAAGACTAATTTCTGAAATACAATATTATTTCAAATATACATATATATAGCTTGTAGAAAACCTGAAATAAAAGCTTTAGGGTGGTATAAATGAAGATAAACATGACTCTGACTCAGCAGGAAAATGCTAAAAAAAGGAATGTCTATTAAATTAATTTTCTTCATGGTGGACTTAATTATTCAAATACATAAGTGGTCGGATTTCACTGGATTATAGTAACATGCAGTTTTATTTGCAGATTTGGTTTTCATCCACCTTCTGTGACACAATATGAATATTCCCTTATTAATTTTATTTTTTTCCAGTCAAAAACTAAGGCCAAGCTTCCATGAATGACTTCACTGTCAGGTTATTAAATATTGACCATAAAAAGATGATAAGTCAGTTCTATAAAATCAGAGTTAGCTGGCATTGAAAGGCCCCATTGCTTGCCCCACCAGCTAACTGCATATGCAAGATGTGCACATAGCTGTTGTGGTAGGAATTTTGTGATACTCTATTGTGTCCACTAGATGGGTGTCAAAAGTAAAGAAATGGATCCAGATATATTAGCTAGGATCTGGCTCAACGAAGATATCTTTTACGTAAATACCTATAATGAAAAGAAACATTCCATGCTACAGCAAAAGAATGAATGTGAATATAGCACTGGTGTGGCAAAAATGTGTCTGTATAAAAAGTTTCCAAAATGCTACTGTAGTTAAGTGTCTTTAACTTACTGAGGTGTGCTAGCACTTTTGGACATAAAAGGTTATAGAAATCTAAATGAAAAATGCTTTAGTAAGTTGAAAATAAAATGTTCCCTTCTCTGAATCTTGAGTCTCTTTTGCAAGAAATGGAGACACTTGCATCAAGTTAAGAGAGAATCAGAATGGGGAACTCAAGACTTTGAGAACGAGTTGTTTTCTTTCTATATGCACCTAAAAAAAGATTAAAAAAAAAGACTAAGATACAGAATGGGACAGACTCTCTAGTTTGCCTGGGCAGAAATTGCAGAAAGTTGAATGTGGTTGCTTCATATTTATTTTTCCATTCCTGTAAAATTTTAAACTGCAGTGAGAATATGTTGTGAATGAAAAAACAACCAGTGATAAACCAAACGTTTTTCTTTTGTTAGTTATCCTCCGCCTCCTTGCACTTTTTGGTAGAAGAGGCTCTTAAAAACAGGAAGGAGCATGGAAGTTGTTAACGAGGGTCCTAGAACTGTTTTGCTACCTTTTCACCGACCCATAATATGCCCATTTAAAGATATCATGGATCTGCAGACAGCGCCAGGCACTCCGCATGACTTATGTAAAGCTGAGCTGCAGTTTTCTGACAGGAGCATCTAGCACAGAACCCTCACAGGACTTTCTGTGTTCAAAGAGCTTTCCTGCTCTGTAACTGCAGAGATGTAAAAGCTACTAAAAACAGTGCTAATTCAGCAAGTTCCACATGCGCATTTTGACTAAATCTGTTATGACGTTACTGAATACTCAAAAGCCCGTCTTATCCAGTGTTCAGCGACAGCAAACATGGCATTAAATGGAAGATCAGTCTTTTTTCCTTTTTTGGCTATTCACTGTGTTTGCACATCTTTCCCACCACATATTGTCCAGGTTCTGTAGAGAGAAGGGGATAAAGGTGATGAACTCTCTTCAGCGACTTGTAAACTTTCATGGCTGACTTCCCATGCTCCTAATAGGACAAGAAGTGCTAACATCACAAGCTATCTTCAGGGAGATTGATGATTGATGATTTGCTTCAGACATACTGGGAATCTGTGGACAGGTTCAAGATCATATATCTCAGCAGCACTGCTTCAGTGTGAGCAACTGCACAACTTCCTCACACTGTGAGGAATCCCTCAAAGAATCCCTCCACAGACTTTCTTCCAAATTCTTGAGTAACTTTTCTGCTAGTCCCTGCAAGTTGCTAAAATGAAGGAAGGAGAAAACTTACATACAAAATTTATTCACCATTACATAAGGAGTAATAACATCATATTGAATATGTACAAGATGGATGAAAAGGATGAAAAGAAAATCTTAATGTTGCTCTTACCTACTACTGAGAGCTTAGCAACTTTATTTTTTTACTTTTTGACTTCTCTTTTGTTTCTTTTTGTAGAGAAGTTAGCAATAGTAAAATAAAAACTCCACTTTTTAAGAAATTAAGTATTTAGGAGACTTGTATGAGTATCGATTGAATTACTGCTGTTCCCCTAGTAAGTGAGATATTCTTAGTACATTCAGCCTCTCCTGCCTTGGAAGCTATGGGGAGGAAGAGAAATTAGCTGATCCTATAGGGACACCTTATCTTTTAAGGCCATCTTTAACATTATAGGATGAAGCAAGACCTGAACAAGTTGAATTTGTCTCCTGTTATGGGACCCCTTTGTCCTAGTGCTAAGCAATCTTTCCAACCTTTTACCTGCCCAGTTATCTATATACTCATCTCAGTGTCTAGAATTCCTATCCTGTCCAGTATTTCCACTT